ATCAAGTAATCAAACATTAAGTTTCAATTTAAATTTTAAAGCCTTTTCTCATAATATCGTAATTTTTCAGATTGGTATAACAATGCATTTTTTCGACATTTTTCTATTGGCCATCAGTGCCGTTTTCGTGGCGCAAGCATGCCCTTCATCACCAGGACGCTCCGAGCCAGGACCACCGGGACCGGATGGGAGTGATGGAGAAGGCGGACTACCAGGACCCCCAGGAGACCCTGGACCTCGAGGAGCAAAAGGACCGGCTGGAGATCGAGGACTCCCAGGTTCACCAGGACTTCCCGGTCCACCGGGACTACAAGGACCACAAGGTGCCGAAGGACCGCCAGGCATTCAGGGACCACCGGGTATGGGAGGATAGTAACGTAAATAACCTTCCCATTTACGATATCCGTATTCATATTTTGGTTGTTTTTGTTCGCATCCACTTGTCATTAATGTATTCTTTCCATCCTCACAAAATTCGTAATCTCAAATCGCCATCCGTGCTTTCATACCTTACAAACTTTGGAATATAAAATTTGAATTCTATGAAAAAAAAAATGTTCATAACATGTGCTGGGAAATATCTTCCGTTATATCAAAGATGTGCAATCGACAAAAGAAAAATTTTCTAATTTTCTCGAAAATATCAATAGAATGGATCTAACACTGTTGGATCAGATGTTGACCAGAATAGAAACCTTTCAACAATATGAGGCTAAAAAGAGAATTATTAAAGGAAAAATGAAATCATAAGCGAAAACTGGCTGTAATTCGTTTAGAAAGCAATAATTTTTCGTTCTTCAGACGTTCAAATATGTTGAATTTTGAACAAATTTGTTCGTTACACTTCATTCATCATTGGCAGACATAGGAACAATGAAAATAAACACTGAGTCTCGATTATTTAAAATAAAGTTCAAAGATCGACAGTCATCTGAAGATTGACACTATGATTGTAATAGTTGTAATCAGAGGTCAAAATTTCGTCGTAATCATATTTTTCTTACTTTTGAACTTGGATAATGGGATAATGAATATTAAAATTAGAAAAATAGCATAGAATAAAATATTGATGAACGAATGGTAAAATGGAAAAATATTGTAGAAAAATGGAAGTAGACAAAGAGGTCATCATATTCCATTTATCTTTACTGATAACATCCTCATGACCTTTCTACTTTTCATTTATATTGGTTAAAACAATGAAAATTCTTAGCTGCCTTAAAATATGTGTTTGTCTTACCATGTCGAATGGATGCCTTTTTATCGATGGTTTGATTCGCTCTATAATGAGGGAGCAAAATTCTGATAATATTTGATAAATTACTTTCTGATATACAGTAATTTTACCTATTTAATAATTCCAACATTGATAATTTACTTTCCTCATCGGTACAAGATGATATACAAATAATGCATCTCATTTTATCTTCATAATGTATAGGAAATAAAGATTATGGAAAAAAAAATAAAAATTTTTTTTTCTACCAAAATAGAATAATTTAATTTTGATAGACAGGATGGGATTGAAAAAGAGAAAGGACAGATATAAATTTCGAATCAATTTGAGCAGATTGAAAAAAAAATAACTGAACTTCTTTTCTAATTCTTTTTTGTTTACTTTTAACAATGTATAATTTGTTATTTTGAAGTCAATACTTCAATTATCGTCTTTACAAGGCACCAAGTCTTAAATATAGGTTATTTTTGAATATGCATTAAAAAGCATTGTTTAAAAAAGTGATAATTTATTGATTTATTGAGCTGAGGTTACAGTTGTTACTGGACAGACAGAGTGTAAATTGTTTTAAAATGATAATTTGATTCTTGGAGCATCAAAGTATTCTTTGAGTATCAGTTCTGAAATTGCTATTTAAATTTCCGAAGCATGTTACTAGCAACATTACTTGATACTTTCGTCATTTGATACTTTCGCTGAATAATTACTTCCCTTTAATTGCCCTTTTATTCAGTATCATTTATTATTTAATTTGTAAATTTTAAAATTTGCTTCTCAGTTTTGGTTAATTTTGAAAAGAACTGATAGAAAAAATTTCCTTTCATAATGAAATAAGAAAGGGAAAACATACATTAATCTTGTTTGATACTTTTTACGATCAATTTCTTTCATTTAAATTTAAAAAACTACCCGCAAACTTGACTTTTCAAATTGAAATTTTCATTTTAACTTGGAAATAAACATTTGAGAACAATACTTACACGATCAGGTGTACCGCGTGAAACTTTCTCGAATGGCCATTTGCCTTCTTTATAACAGTAATAAGCAAATGTTGCAATTACAGCTGTTGCAGTTATTGCTAACATTACTACGCAAATATTTTTCGTGTTTTTCTGAAATATTTGGTGAAATTTTCAGTAATATTTATCGCATAATTTTCTTCCAATTATAATTTTTGAATTTAATAATCTATTTAAAATTGTTGCAAAATAATTTGAATGCAACAAAGATTGCCTTTCTGAATTTGCCAGAATTAGTTTCACTTTGAAATGGTTCAAGTTTATAATGAGCAGAAACTCTTTCACTAATTAAAACATGGTTCTAATAGAATTAAAAATAGCTTCAACTCACATACGCCTATAGTGTACTTAAAATTCTTTCACTAATCAAACGAGAAAAAATAAAATTTAATCCCACCATTTATTAAACTGATTTGTTATATTATCTTTGGAAACATTAAGTAACATATCAGAGAAAAAAGGAGAGAAGATACAGGTAGACAACCTTTTCGCCTACCCGTATCCTCTCTTTTCTTCTCTGAGTGATGAAAATTCATTTGAATTTGAAATAAACACCAACATTAGTTGCCATTAGGCCGGCTCTTATGAAACATAAAAAGAACAATAACAGATATTACCATTTGAGAACATTTTATTTTCTAAATTTAGATATTAAAAAAAAAAAATGCATTCTTATATGCTTTTGTTTTACCGTTACCTCTCGGTTGGTATTTCGTTTGCATTTACTAAAAATTTCGATAATGCCATAAAATGAGGTCCAGACAAGATATAAATCAGAAAATTTAAGGATAAAAAATGCAACTGTACAAAAAGATTCTTTAACTGAACATTATTATGACTGCGATGAATATTAAAATTGTAACGCACATTTATGTTGCTGAATTTATTACAGAAGGGAATTGTTTGATGAGTTGAAATGATTTAGTCATCAGTACCATTTACTCAAATTTCTATACTTTCATAATTCTAATAACTGACACATACCTTTCCCTGAGGTACTTTGCAGTGTGCAAAAAATTGATAATTTTTTAGATACGAGAATTTGAAAACTTTACACTCTTATCCTTTTGAAAGAATAAATCGGTTTGCACTTGAAGTGATAATGTTTATACTAAGATACAAAATTAATAAAAACAACATATATCGTACAATATAAACCTAATAACCACGGATCAAGCCAATCAGTGATAACATTTTATAGCACACCGTCAGCTCTGAAGCATATTAAAAGACAAATAAAATATTAGAAAATAGATAAAAATGATGAACCAGCAAATTAAACAGTGTTGAAGAAAACTAAAATTAGAAGCAGAATCCATGAAAACTGAAATCTCTCCAAATTTCATGATTTAATTCAATTTTCAATCAAAAATGTATAAGGATTGAAAACACACTATATCTGCTTCATCCTATAATCAAATTAAAATGCGACTGTTGTTCTAAATGTTCATCTGTAATTGTCCAATATAACTGTGAGAATTTACGGCCAGGAAACTGATTTCTCTTTACACATAAGTAAATTGATTGCTGAAATCATGGAGGCAAATGTAAATCCAACACTTAAGAATAAAAAACATTCGATCTAACTGTAGATATGAGTGTCAAAAAGTGTTTACAGGGAAGGAGCAACGGACAACAGAAGAAAGACATCATTTTGACACTTGATTCAAGTTGAGCAAAAAGCTGGAAAACAAGCACTAAATTTATGTTGCTAGTTAAAAATGATTAAAATTTCAATTTAAAAATTTTCATTTGCAAAAAAGGCTTTGAAAAAACAAAAATAAAACTGTTTCGTTAAGATTCTAGTTCAGAATACATCATAATGTAAGTAAATAAGAATCAAAGAGAAGAAGAAAATATATGCGTATCTGTCATCAATAAATACATCAATCAAATTTTATCAGAGAAAGCAGAAATCACCCACCAAATTAAGAGAATCTTTCAATTTTACGTTCTGCTAAATATGAGTACAGAAAAAAACTTTCTTAATTGTAGGATGTAAGAATCTTATTTTACATTTCATCGATTTACCACAAATCGGTGAAATATGAAATGAGGTTCAATATTGCCACATATCATATCATTCTTCAGAAATTAGAAACAGCACAGTCATTGTAACTTTTTTGAAGATCCTCATTTCAGCAAAAAAAACCCCTACTACCTCAGTTTTCATTCGCCCGCAATATAAGAATTAGAAGTGATGATGGTATCAGTGATAATACAGATAAAACAAGATAACAGCAACAATACACAAGGCATTCCATGAACAAATTGTAAAGAGAAATAAAACTTTCTCACTTTAAAATCTTCGTAAATAAGAATTCCAGAAACTTTCCAGCCTTCAAAGCATTCACCAATTTGACAATCCAGGTTTATTCAGCGTCATAAAATAAATCTGGCATGCTCCTCCTCCTTTTGCACTCGAAAAGAAAACCTGAATAAAATGAATGGTCTGCACGTATAAACAAAAAAATTAATACTCCCCCACAAATGTATAATATTGACAGTTAAGGTAATACCATTATGTTTCAGAATATAACGATGCGTGAGATAAATGATGAAATGAATGCATCTAAGTCAAATATCAATAAATGATAAGTAACTACGCCTCATCAGCATGTGCAGAGCAGTTTGATACGACTAGCAACTGCAAGTCATGCAAGGCAAAAATTAAAAGATTAAGTATTCGTGTCCAATAGCTAGCACTTCAAGCTTAACGAGCAAAAGCTTACTTTATCATTGCGTTCACACAAAAATTTCAATTTCTGCGCCTTTTTGTGCATGAAAACACCATCCAAATGGCCGGTATCAACAGATCTGATTTCTATTGCTTTGTTACCCCATCCCATTATCTGACCCGTGGAAATATAAGCTGAAAAGAATAAACCAATTGACTTTGAAAAAATTTTAATGAAGAATTTCAAATATCAATCGCGAATAATCTGCGATTCTTCTAGCTACCGAAATAATTAACAGTTTAAATCATGAAATTTCAATTCTATCTGGAATTGATCAGGGCTTCATTGTAAATAAAAAAATTTAATCTCTAAACTTAACTTACCTACAGAAGAAGGCGTTTCTCCCCACTGCAGAAAGACACTTTTCGTTGCTTTGCCATACGTACTAACATAAACGCCTTCATTATTGTAACACAGCAGCAGTTGCATCCCGTTACTATTCGGCAGTATTACTATACAGTGTGGTGTTACTACTGTTTCCGTCTAAAAATACAGCAAATATCTCGCCAAAATATAAATTAAAATTACAAAATGCATCTTATTTTTAACCCAAATGCCCTGATTGAAATGTAATCTTATGCATTCTAGTTCCGCTCAAATTCAAATCTAGACCTCAACATGCTATGAAACGAATTTACAATTTTTCATTCGACTGATCGTGTTTATTGCCAAATACTAGGTCTCAAGTAAAGATGATATCTAGTGTCAAAATGTTCAGATATGTAAAAAAAATTGTGAATGCTATGCGTAATCTTCACATAACAATAAACTAATCTTATTAAAATATCATCTACATTTTCATCAAGAATAAGTTTATAAATACTGGTAAATATTGGCAACACACATTAGCAGGCGTATAAATGTCATCAATAGAACCAGAATCCAAATCAATAGCGTGAAATCCTTCACGAGAACCGTAGAGTACTTTTAAACGGGAATTTTTTTCCACTGTTAAATCAACAATAAGCGGTAAATGAGTTAGCTGACTAAATGCCTAAAAACAAAAAAATATCTAGCAATCACCATCAGAAAAAGGATTTGAAAAAAGAAACGATTCTTGAAATTTATATATAAAAATATAAAGTTGGAAATGAAACTTAAACTCTACATATCTTAAGAATGTCCAATGTCGTAATGATTCGGTTATTAAAATAACCTTCAAATAATGCCCAGACTTTAGTTCCAAAACTAAATAGTTTAGCAAATATTTCTTAAAACTGAACATCGATTGCTAAACTAAATTCGTTTAAAAAAGAAATCTTCAAAAAATGCACATGAATATCAAAAAATACATCAAAACAACCTTAAATGCCATAAATTTGTGGTAAGGCTTCGGAGCCCATGCATAAATCTCAACCGTACTTTCAAGACCCACCACAAGAAATTTGATCCTTTCATAACGAACAATTTTAAAATGTACGGCACCTTGTAGATCACCAACGTTCACCCAGCCATTTCTTTTTTCCAACTAAAAAGGGTAGCTTATATATTTTTTAAATTATTTTCTGAAATATCAAATATGAGCCATTCCATATACCGACTTTCAAAATATGTCATTAGTGTTCAGCATTCAAGAACTGTTAAGAACATTAGTTCAAAAATTCTGTGGCAATAACGTAAATGAATACAATATTATTGATAGATTCACTATAATAACTGCAACTTATGCTGAGTCTTTTGTATTACTAAAATTTGAAACATAAACCTTGAGTCGCTTTACTGAAAAAAATAATTACAGTTGCTTTCCATAAGTAACCGAAGTTATAATTCATTCCAACAAATCTCTTGCATACATACCTCAACACCACTAACACCTTCAGTTCGGAGAATTTTTTGTTTGAGCCATGACAAATAATACACACGTATTCGTCGTTTTCGTCCACTTATCGTTACGAGTATATTTTGACCTTCAAGCACCGTCATTTGTTCAAAGCGTCGACGTGTTATCAATTGATATACTGAAAAAAATATAGACAAACATAAATAGATTTATTACTGCTGTTATAAATCAAACTTCTGTAATTTTACGTTCTGTCACAAATTATCGCTATGATGTCAATACTATTTCAGAAATGCCTATTTTCAACATATTTTTTTATAAGCTCAAAATTTTAACTTGGAAGACAATAAGCCACATTTCTGATATAATTTGGAAAAAATGGAATGCAGTTACCTTTGCCCTGACCACTACGATCAAGTAACATAAGACCTGAGTCGGTTCCTATTAATAAATTCACTCCCCAAAGTGCTGCACATAGAATCTGAAATCGGAATAAAGTAATTCACAAATTGCAATTAAAAACAGTGTCATAATGCTGGTGGCCTAATTTAAAAATATAAATTATACTCGTAAAAAGCAATTTTTGTTAATTGTGAAATTAAATTCAAAACTTCCAGTTTCATGTGTGAATTTACATTCAGGGATTCATATTTTTATATTGACAGCATCTAGAGCACCGTCATTATGAGATAAAAAAAATTCTAATGCCACATAACGAAAACCACAAAAAAATTAACTTCTAATCTATGTCATAGTTTTCCTAAAATAGAATTAAAAATAATTTTTAGATAACATACATCACCACTAAATTTTTTTTTGTATTTACGAATTTCAGGGGCATCACCATCAGAATGTAAACCATTGCTTGCTGCAACGGGATTCGGATTAACATTCACTTGTACCTGGAAATTTTTAACATATTATCTATTATCTAGCTGAAAAAGATCTTTTAAATCATATGAGTGCTAATCAGCAAATTTCTCGGCAAGGTTGACTGCAAAAAGTTATGTTAACAATTTGCTTATTTGACAACTCATCAATTTTTATTTTTCAACCATAAATTTTGACCACATATATGACAAACCTGATTAGTATCTTGTGCTCTTCCTGGTCGATTCACTGTACCAGATCCGCTCATACCTGCCCCAAAGTAAGCAACGAATGACTTTTCACGATCACGTGCTGCTAAAGGTGCTTGCGCTCTTGGTAAACTATTCACGCCAGAAGGATACTGAAAACATAATGAGTGAATTTGTATTACAATATACATTAAAAAAAAAAACACTCCAGTAATACAAATTTGCTACGGAAGACGATAATACTCACAATGCGCTCTTTTATGAGTTTTACAATTATGAATCAAGAAAATAAAAATTTACTAAATTTCACGTTCGAATTAAAGCAAACTTGTTTTGCCAAATCTTTAATTTCTGCATAGCTAAACCACAAAGAATACGGAAACTGCGCTATTTTACATTACTGACAATTTAGGAACTGGCAAAACTTCAGCTACGGTGAACCAGTGTAACATTCTTTCGTACTGATGACATGATTATAATTCAAACACAACTGTGAATCATTCTCTCGAGGGTTCATATGAATCGTTTGCCATGCAATTATTCCAGTTCATCCTTTACTTTTTGGTTATCAATGATTGAAAAAAACCCACTAAAATTTATAAAGTAAAAGGGCAGTCTCTCTCATATTTTTTCAGAGAAATTCATTCGGTACTCTCAAGTTCATGCAAGACTTCGGTCTGTTTAATTAATATATAACAAAGAAAGACAAATTTTTAGATTTTTTATTTACTTTTAGAAACTATATTTTAAATGAATTAAATTAACTCCAGAAAATTTCTTCACTTTCAATATTGTCATCTTACAAACTTCTAACCAGTAGCCACCGGAAATTTTCTCAAAAACAATGTGAATTAAGCTTTTAACTTATTATAAAATTGACACGAAGAGTTTGAGAAATTTTAATTTTTTCCCACAAACATTTCTTTTCAGCCATCATTATTTATGAAAGCTATCAACGAACTTTCGTACTATCACTGTCGTGCTTCATCTGATCCTGTCATCATACCGTGAAATTTGTACTTCAAAATTGAAAGGATGCTTGAATAAGTTAACATAGCACAATTAGAATGCATACGAATCAGGTCATCACGTTACTTTTGTTAATGTAAAAAAAATATTTTGAATATCATTAGATGAATTGAGTAAAATCGTTATTCTAGAACTTGCAATATCACTTAACGAAAAAACAATGGATATCCTCTCAGTGAAAGTAGACATTTGTTATTCACACGATTTGTAATGCAAACAAATTGATCTACGCAGTGCAGAAAAGCACTGATGATATTCACTAGAAATTTTGGAAATTGATCAATCACAACACCAAAGGACTATACATGCCACATTGAAATCAATGAAAACACAAATTAAATTGAAAAAAAAATTATAACACGGCAAAAAGAAATGAACTCACGTAAAAGCTTCCAAACAGCGAAGTAATCTGCCGAAAATATAAGCAGAAAATAAAATGGCAATAAATAAAGACTGATAAATAAATGGCAAATGAAAATTATCACTATAGCTATTGTTTAGTTTGGCGAATAAATAAAAAGCAGAAAAATGCAACAAAATTTATTTCAGTTCTTATGTTAGTGCATTGAGCGCTTGAAATATTGCGATTTTTCAAAACCTGATAAAGCTAAAGAGGAAAATGAATTTAAATAAATTTTTAGCAATAAAAAAATGATCTATTGAATAAATCTTTTGCAATTCATAAGTCTGTTCCGATTTTCGTTTGCATCAGTTCATTTTTAAAGTTATTCCGAAATCTAATTTTCCGTAAAAAATTACCTCTTCAGCGCTTTGTGATTCAATACTTGGAGAACTACCATCTTTCGTAAAAACGAAGAATGGAGTGGAACGTTCGATGGGTGTTCTTGGTAACAAATCCGGCATAACACCACATCGTTTTCCACTTGCTGCCGAGCCGGATATTCGGTTGTTGCTTTTGCGAGCATCAAAAGGTGATGCTTCAGGTGATGATCCAGAGCCTTCACTACCGCTCGAGCCGGAACCAATAATTATCTCAGCTGCTGTTGATGTTTGCTAAACATTTCAATCATTTTTCATTATGTTTTTTGAAGAATCTCGAATTCAAATTTATTTTGACTTTTCGGCAGAAGTGTAATTCTTTCAACTTATATGCATTCTTTTTTCTTAATGATGATTCCTCTAATAAACATTTGTAACTAAAGCCTTGAAATTTATATAACATCCCACTTCTCATCCGCTACACTGCCAAATAATCCAGAAAATTAAATAATCAAATATACTGAAAATGTGAAGATACATCGGGCATTGAAGCTGCCTTCACCATTTGAGACTGTCGATTTTTGCTCAACGAATCACTATTACTGCGACGATGATCTATACTGCCATTTATCTTAAATTGGAAATATTTTTCACCAAATTCATAAATATTCACTGATCAAATTAAGCACGGTTGACCAGTCATCATCTTTCTTGTTTCTAAATATCGCAATAAATGAAAAAAAAAAATTATTCGTTTGTGAAGGTAGAAACAACCTTGTGAGAAGCAAGCAAAGTTCCATCGTCGCCTGGAATGTCGGATACTGGAGACTGATCTGTTGGTGTTGGCGGTAATGGCTTATTCGGACCACGAAGTGTTCCTTCTTCCAGCACCTGAAACTAACATTTGAAATAGGCAATTCTAAAATTAACTTTTTAGCTGAACACAATGTACTGCAGACCAGGAAAAAAAGGATAAAATAATGAGAGTAAAGCTTAAATTTTCATGATGTCCATGAGCAGGTTCACTAGCGAGAAGAGTACCATCATGAGATCCGCTAGCTTCATCTACTGCACTCATTATCGATGTATCACGCGGTGGTGGAGCAGGTGGTGGTGGACTGTAATTGCCATTTTGTTGATGTCTTCCCATCCGTGTTAGCTCATTTGCTAACACATCCAAATCTTGATTCTAAAAAAAGAAAAATACTGAAAATTAATGTTCACATATATATACTATTAAACAAAGAGTTGTTATTTGTAACTGAGTGATTTTAAAATCAAACTGCATAAAATTGATGACTTACTTCAGCTTTGCCATTCAAAACCGGTTCGCTCAGCTTTCGTACGGGTGTTGAAGCGGCTAGTGAGGCACTTACACGGGCAATATGTGAAGGATTCTTTAGCTCCCGAGACATATCACGAACCTGATCATGTGACGCAGCACTTCTATCACGTCGCTGTTCAGATGCCACCCGTGCTGCTTCCTTCTCGCTGCGACGTTTCCGGTCGTAGTTAGCAAGATCAGCAAGATGTGGAGCAGCAGGATGATTCGGTTGGGGCATTAAAGCACTTGCATGATGTGGTGATATACCACGCTGAAACTGAAAATCCTTGTTTTAAAAAAAGTTCTTCAATCTAACGGGAATTCTCAGAATTGCAAACTTTCAATAAAATGAAAAAAATTAAAGCTTCCATTTAAATGGAGATAATATCCTGAATTGACTTACTGCTTGGTGATGAGAAAGAGGTCGCTGTGATCGTCGGTTATGATCGCCGTGACGCTGATGGCCTAAACCATTCAGAGCCAAGCGTGGATCTACCTGCTGCTGTCGCAATTTGACATGCTCTCGAGAATCATCGACACCAAATCCTAAGAATGTTCTTAGAGTTTTTTTCTGAATAAAGCTTTTGAATAAACCTGTGTCGCTCATTACATCCAAATCCGTAATCCTTTTCTGTAGCAAACTTAAAAAATTACTGGGATTGCGTTGAAATGCTTGAGAAGTGGATGGATGTTTTTGTTGATGCTGTGAAATGTGATGATGCTGCCCCGTTGGTAAAACGATAGGTCCAGCAAGAGCAGAACGTTGTCTGATCGGTTGTGACGGTGAGTGCTCGAACATGTTCTTATTATTTTCTTGCAAGCGTTGAAAACCTTTCCGCAAAGTGTTGTCCTGTGTTGACTGTACTACGCCAGCTAATTCTGCATTAAAAAATTTATTGATCAAGATGACTGCATAAGTTATTTGTTATGCTAGTTAATTTCGAATTGCTAAGAACCAATCTTATATGCTTTCTTTTCTATAGTACAAGTACGTCTTTATCAATTCACTATCGATTGCTAATATTTTTTGAAATAACCAGAGATTTTCAGCCGCATTTTGCTGAAGAAATACTCATTTCGAAGTACCATATCACTCTATCTGCTAATTTTTGGAAAAAATACTGTCACTGAATTAGATGATTTTTTTCAACAGATGCCAGACAGGTGACTCCACCACTCAGCGTTAATTAATAGGTTTGCATTTTAAACTTAACTGCTGAAATCTAATATTTTATTGTATAAAAATACCAATACCAATGTTCAAAGGTTAATATTTGAATAAAAAAAATAAAACACCTGCATCTACGTCAAGAGGTTTACCCACTTGTCCATGATTTTCATCATCATCACTTCCCGAATATTCATATTCTGTTTCATCTGAACAATAAACAAAGACACTTGCGGAAGTATAAAAGAAAGAAAACCTTCTTAAAACAGTTTAAAAACAAAAAAAGATAATATAAACATTACTTGGATTTAAAAATTTTCTCATATACCTTTTTTAGTGATGATCCTGCGGTGTCTATCCTGATGATCCTTGATTGCTATACGTGTCTGTCGTTCAGGTGGTTGTTCTCGAATAAATGGATGCCTCAAAAGTTGATCTGTGTACGGACGCTGATGATAATCTTTTACCAGCACTGTTTCGATGAAAGAATCGAATTTTTTCGACCTGTTTAAAATCAGAGAGAATTCAGTACAAACAATGGAAGCAGTAAATGAAAAAGAACCTTCAATTAATGTCCTACATTTTCAAGTTCATTGAGACATAAAAGAAAATCTTAAGATATCGCTACCAAACAGCTTCTCCCAATTACAGTAAGAAGAAGGTATTCATTTGGAAACAATTAAATATGAATCTTTTGTACCTGCAACTTCAATTTTGATAATAAAAAAAATTTCCTGCATTCACATTTTAACTGTTTATTAAATTACTGAAACACTTTAAAAGCAGCTTTTACATTATAACTTTATCTCTCTTTTGTAAAGCATAATTCATTCATATTGAGGAAAAGCTAACTGGGCTACAAATGACATTAAACATGGAAAATGAAAATTGCAAAAAATTTTGAGGTTTTTAATAGTTATATAAAATATCAGATTGAGAACAATCTTCAAGTATGATATTGGTTGCATAATATAAGTATTAAGTTATCTTTAAATCATTCAAATTCTTGATTTTAACAACTATAAAATATTAAGTAGCCATCATGCAAAATTCAGATTCATCTATCATAGAATTACATACATTTTAAGAAAAATCTTTCCCTCGGTTTTTACGAAAAGTAATACACTTAAAAAATAATGATTAAAGAAAATATATAAGGATATAAAAGATGTAAGTTTAGATTTATAAATAACTGAAGTAAACAAATTGTCGAACCATTTTTTGCCTCGTTTCAATCGTGGTGGCGCATTCCGAGGAATAAGAAATAGTGCTCTCATGGGATGCATATCAACTAGTGGCGGATGGCCTTCTGCCATTTCCAAAGCTGTAATTCCTAATGACCATAAATCGCTTCGAGAATCGTACGTTGCATCTGGATTTTCATCGCAAGCTATCACTTCCGGTGCCATCCTGAAATAAAGAGGAACTGAGAAGAATTTTACGAACAAAAAAATAAATAAAAGAATGGCGTCACATATCTTAATATTATTTAACTTTATTGACTTATTTTGATTTCATAATTTAAAATAACTTTCGTAGTAAATGTTCTAATTAGTACTGTCTCTACAAAATAAACCTTCCAATATTTGCAATATAAATAGTAGAAATAGTAAAAAAAATGAGTAGCCTTTGAACAATAAAAATGAGTGTGCTTTCATAAAGTTCATACTACAATTGGACCGAGATCAACATATGAGGCTTTGCAAATTTCATGCAATTTTTAATTTCTCACAGTACATTTTAAAAATATTGTAAACGAAAATTTATATACCAATAAGGAGTTCCTATAAATGTATTCCTGCGACCAACTGTCCTATCTAATTGAGCACTCACACCAAAATCAACCAATTTAACTTCACCACTATCAGTAAGTAGAACATTTTGTCCTTTGATATCACGATGAATGACTTTATTTTGATGTAAATGATATAGACCCTGCAAGCAAAATTAATTGAATGATAAAAACGATAGAAAGTAAAGACTGAAACTAATTAATTTCAAGCTCTAACAATTGAAACGGGAGCACTGAGCGATATTAGCTTACCCTGAGAATTTCACGGCATATGTAAGCTATCCAATCTTCTTTAAGTGAATTGCCTTTAGTGCTTTTGACAAGATCCGTCACCGAACCACTACCACAGAATTCCATCACCAACCACAGTTGATCTAATTTTCCTGTAGACGAAGGCAGTTTCTTTATAAAAGCTCCATAATAAGTAGCAATATTGCGATGATGCGAATACTGAAACAAAGGAAAAAATTTTTCATACAAATTAAAACAGACCTTTTGTATCTTGCTATGATTTGGATAGCCAAAAATTTTGGAAGAAGACTGGCATTCTGATGGGTAGCCAAGAATTTTGGAAGAAGACTGGCGTTCTGACGGTCTTTCAGACAGTTCAATTAGTACAATAATATCGACATGCTAAGTGCATTACTAGCAGAGGACGTGATGCACTAAACAAACAAATCGCTATAATAAACACCGTAAAATAACGGATTTCGAACTCTATGTTTAGACATCAATTAACCAAGCTATATTGTTACCTTTTTTAACATGTTGATCTCCATCTTGATTTCTTCTTCCTCATCCTGAAAAGTGCTATTTTTTTAAGAATAATTTAATTGGAGTGAAAGAAATGTTTCAGTAAATTAAAAAAAAGACCAAATGAAATTCGTGTACAACCAATGAAGAGAACCCATGGATTTGATAAACTGCTTTTGTGATACCAAATTACTACAATAAATAGGAGTTCTATAATGAGCATACTCTTATTTTCGATTTCATATAAAAATTTATGCAAACCTCATTGATATTCATAATTTTTATGGCGGCCAACTGTGAAGTTTTAACATGTCTTCCCTGAAAGCGAAACGTGTTTTCTGAATGTAAGATTCTCACCAATTTTTATCATTTATTAGAACAATCCAATAATAATGAACTTCAAGGATTGTCAATTTAAAACCAAACTTACAAAATCATTTTATTAGAGGAATTTTTCATTGTAGACAAGTCTAATCATAAGATATAGTATTACCTTGTAAACTTGGCCATATGTGCCATTACCAACTACTTCGATTAATTCGAATATCCCAGCTGGATCCTGCAAAACCACAATAATTTAGAAACTTTAGAATTCCATTTATAAATCAGGTCGAAAAGATTTTGTTTTTACAAGCTTGAAAATGTATCACTGGACTTTTTAACTGGATATAAGATTAGGGTACACAGTTTAGAAAACAAAAACTGTACATGTAGAACTAAATAAATAGGTAATTAGAATTTGGAATCTTCGGAATTTCAGAGTTCTGCATACTGGAAACTTCTTCCTCTTATCACAGACTTACAAATGTATTAGAAACAGTCATTAACTGAATTAAATATTTAGTGAAATGCATATTTACACAAAAATCTGAATGCATATCATAAATTATAGAATATACGCCACTCAGTATGATAAGATACCATTTATTGGACAAATCTTATTTCATAGACCAAGCTAAATATTTCAGTTAATTTCATATAAAATTAGCTTATTACAAAACCACATCGCGGTGAATTATTTTAGGATGATCACATTTATATTTTCAATTTTTTTTTTTTTAAATAGTGAACTTTGAACGAAATGAATGTCTCTTCAGTAAAGTTTCGTAAATGTAGAGGTGAAAAATCACACAGACAAATTTGTGAATTGAATTGCAGATAAAAGCTTTAAATGCTCTTCCCGTTCACCTGCCCAATTCCTGTCTGTTTATCTGTCAACGCGGTGTCACTTCGTACAATTCTGTTATTGTCACATGCGAAAAATCTTGTTCTCACTCGGTCAAATTTCAAAAGTCTTTAATAAAAAATTTTCAAATTTTCACAACAAAAGCTACGCATGATTCATACTATAGAAGGTCGTCGAACCTCATCGGTACAATACATATATTACAAGAAATGGTAGTGAAAGAGATAGATGAAGTGTACATAGCACACAAACAGATCAATCCTTTGCCTCTTACGCCTTTAAAATCATTTAATTTCATCTATGATTAATCATTAATTTGATAATGGAAAATTTTCAGCGTAAAGCTAAATATGATATCAAAGTTTAAGGAAAAATATGTGTAACCACCAATTTACTTCCAGTTTCTATGGTTTTTTTTTTTTTTAAAGCAACTTTTGATAAGTAATGAATAGCAAATGCATAAGTGCTTATATTCTAAAGAAAGAAAATATTTCCTTCAATCAAATGCATAAGAAATTGACTAAACCGCTATTTTTTTTCTCGTCTATAAACTTCAAACCATAATTCGTTGATTATCATCAAAGATTGCAAAATATTTCAAGTTTACGGTATGAAAATTCCTTTCTAATCACATAATCAAGCTTTACATAATATTCATTTAATTAAACCTGCTGGTTGCAAGTTGTTCGTAAAAATTAAAAAGAATACCACGAATACTTAATACGCTATTTCTTTATTGTCGATATAATCTTCCTGAAAAACTCTCGTTTTGCAAATTCTATTCATCGATTTACTATCTAATAAAAATGTAAAAAAAGTTTTAATAAGTGCAAACTTATAAACCGATGAATCACAAAGATGCTATATTTTCCACCCGTTACCCCAGCAAGAAAAAGATGAGATCACAGATGTCCGTGTTAAATTGCATTAGTAAAAAAGTGAAAATTTTTCAACAATCGATTGAATGATGAACTGATAATGATTGAAAGGAAAGATAAAACGAAATTATATATATGTACATCTGATTCAACGAAAAAATATGAATTTGAAAAAAAAAACAAAAAAAAAATTCTCCTCCTTATTGAGATTTTTGGATATAGAATGGACAAAAGAAATAAAAAAGAGAATTTCATGGAATCTTATTAAACACTTACTTTAGAAACCAAAGATTTAATGACATATATGATTATTTTTTGCTCAATTCTCGAATAATGAGTTATTATTCAGTTCAAAGATAGCTACTTAAGTAGTATCATAAGAGAATTCATAAATCAACAGACTAACTAGGTACTTCTATACATTCAAAAAACCCACTTTACAACTTTCTTAAAAAGACTATTACATTCCGAACATAAAATAAAAGAGATGGAATTAAGCCAGAGAATATAGATTTTTTTTTTAAATTAAACATTCAGATCAAAAGAAGATATACTACCAATGTAACAAACTAATAAAAATTAAATTAAATGATGCCATCAAAGATGATCACAAATTTCTACCACTCAACCTTTCCATTACTACTCATTCACCTGTAATCAAACATTATTTGTGCAAGAATTCCTCTTCTTCAAATCTCATTAACATTAAGTTGTCCTTTTGTATTATATTTAGATATATTTCACTTATCACTTATTACGACAACCTTTAACTATTTCATCCCATACGTCAAATTTTCGAAATTGGCTATTGGTTATATATTATGTTACAGTATCAGAAATAAAAGGTAAAATTTGAAAGATAGCAAAATGGTCATCGACCTCGTTTTTGAAAGAAAATTTCACATTTCACTTACCTTGAGAGAATTCAAGTCAATATCATCAAGCGAGCTTGCAGACATCATCCAGACTGCGAGTGCGCCAACGCTCTACCCTGAACGATATGTTTTCGATCCTTCACTTCTTTCTTCTATGCACACAAATCAGCAACACCCTGCAATTACAGATCGATCACATAGCAGCAGCAGCAACAGCAACACAAAACAGCATCATCATTACTGCTTCTTCTTCTGTACTTATTTAATGGACAATGGCTACTTTTGTCAAGTAGCCGATAGCGAAAGTTTAACAAGGATGACATTGAGAAACCGTATGAAGAATGATGATTGACTGATCTTAAATGTATGAAACATATATAATACTTGAGTGAAATGAGTCCTTTCTAAGCTTTTCGAATAATCAAACGAGCAACTGCAACATAGCATTGTCTCAATACTCAATTAGATCGATTCCTCACTGCCGAAACTGATAGACAGAGAGTCAGCTAAAAGCCTCTCAAAATTTCATTTTTCCAACAAATTGCATAATCCTTTAGTCTTCAATTTCCTAACATTCGTATGTGTAACAGTTAAATAATAATAATAATTAATAATAATAATGACAACAATAATAATGATAAT